AATTCTACCACTAAAAATACTTTTGTTTTCTTTGGAGTTCATTTATTTGTAGTTATCATGTTAAATTTTTTTGCTATTGTTTTTACAACACACAAAACCATTTGATAGAGTTTGTGGGGCATTCTAATTATGGAATTCGGGACCTCTTAAACCGGAAGTGAGAATCATACTACTTGACCAAATGTCTTTCTTGCTGATCTATCGTTTTTCGTTGCTAGTCCATGTGCTTTATGCACCTCAAGGTTTGAAATTTATCAATGTATTTTTAGAATTTGTTCTCAAATCTTTTGGATGTATTTCAATTAATATTGTTAAGAAATATTGACATAAATAAAGTCCATATCATATCATGTTAAGTTTATTTAAGTTGTAATATATAATCAGGTTAAATTGTCTTGAAATGTCGTTTAATAGAGATAAAATTGTTGGTTCTTGCTTGATATATGTCTTGATACTGAACCGAGTCAACGAACTGAATTAGCTTTTGCACATTTTCATTAATCCATGTTCAAGTTCTATTTTGACACATAGGTCCATGGATCCATACATCTCAATCGGAAAATAATAAATAGAAAAAGAAAGAATCGGAATTGATCGATATATTTCTTGAAACAAACGAAAAGAAAGTGAAAGACAACATAAATCATGTATCAACTAAGTCAAGTCCACTCAAAAGTTTGATTAAGAATAAGAAAGAGGAATCTCTAATCAAAATACTAAACCTAGGGTAATAATTTTGAATTCATTGAAAAAATTTATAAGGAAAATTTTAATTATCTCACAATAAATTAAGAATTCAACCCATTGAACAATAAAAAAATAATTTTTTTTGATTGGATGAGAACTAAGGAAGAAATACTAAGTTGTTCTATATTAATCTAGAACTTTTTTTTTTTGAGTAATCCATAGATCATACCAAACAAACCCTTTCTTTTAAATTTGAATAAAATGAAAATTCCATTATTAGTAAAAATAAATAATAAAAAGTAATTGAAAAGAAAAATAAAAATCTCCTGTAATACTAGCCATGAAAAAAACTCTTGAATGATTTGGCTTAAATATAGTAGAAAGAAAAAACAATACAAGAAAAACACAAAAGCATATTTTATTTCTTCCTAAATAGATATTTTATTTTTCAATTGAGATGGGATAATTCCTTAATTGGCATGAATAATATCAATGTATATTGTCTCTAGCTTAAACCGATAAATCCTATAAAAATTACCGTATCTTGTATTTAAAGATGAGAAATGAATTTGGAGATTCTGATAGTTCTCAAGGAGTTTCAGCTTAATAAGGAATTATTAAAAAAAAAAATTTATTATTGAACATGTTCATCTGGTGTATAAAATGGACGGACAATTTATTATATATCAAATTATAGGTATTTTATTAGTTCATAAAAATAAGTACTAAATTAATCAAAGATATCAAGAAAAAGACTATCCTTACTAGAAGAGTTTTAGTAAATCCATTGCAATAAATCAAAAAAATGAATGAAAAGAGAACAAAAAATCATTATGATTTGCTTATTCGGGAAAATTTCCTATCACCCAGAAGTAAAGTCTTAGAGTTCAAAATTCTAATTCGTTTCAATTCTAGAAATAGAAATGATATCCCTAGAAATACATAATTTAACAATGCAAATAAGAAAAACTCGTGATCAAGTTTTAGATAAAAGTAGCAAACATGTTGATAGATATAAAAATAAAATCAAGTTCTTTCTCTAGCCTAATTATCAATGAGAAGATTTAGCTGGTATGAATTGTTATTAGTTTGATACCAATAAGAACAGTCATTTTAGTATGGTAAGGATCCATATGTGTCCATGAAAATTAGTTAATGCTATATTTTTCTTATATTGGTCATAATATCTCTCAACCAAATGCATTAGTTGAAAATGTATTTAATATTTTTCTTTTGTCCTTTTCTTTTTTTCCAATGGTCTTATGTTTCTATTCCATTTGAAGATTGATATTTTGTTTGGTAATTTTAAACTTATTATTTTTGTTTGTTCATTCCACCTAATTTGTAAAAAAAAAAATCATACCACTAGATCAAATGTTCTTATAGTGGATCTATCATTTTTAGTTGTCCGTGTGTATATGTTTTTCGCACCTCAATATATGAAATTTATCCACATATTTTTGTGCTTTAGAACCTACTATTATTGTCATGTTAACTTCACATGGTCTATCACACAGTTGAAGCAGCATTGCCACTAGAATCCATGCATTCCATTGGGATAGATATGTTAAAAATTAGGCCTGTTTGATAACTATTTTTTTTTCAAAATTATGTGTTTTATCCTTTTATAAAATAAAAAAAACATTTTAATTTTAAGTAAAATTTCACTCTAAACTAAGTTTTTGAAAAATATTTTTATTTATTTATTTTTCTTTATTTTAGTTTTCCAAAAATAGATTGATATGGAGTGGCTAGTTTTCAAAACTATCCTTTATGTAGTTTCTTTTTATTACTATGTTTACTTCTATCTCATGTTACTCCATTAGTATTTACTTCGTTTTATACAAAAGTTCACCGTAATTAATAAATTCAGGTGCTTAATACAATCCCTAGAAAAATAAACTTGTTTTTATCACGATCAATTACAATGAGTACAGCTAAAAGAAATCCCAAAAATGAGTAGAAGGTTGAGAAGCACATAATATCAAAGCTGGACTGAATGACTGACATGCAATTCTACCACAAGAATGACATGAAACTTATAAATGGCAGAGATGATGCTCATATTTTAAAGGGGAACTTTTCAACTTGAGAGATCAATTTCGTTCATCACAAATCTGATTTTTACATAATAATTTGTGGGTATTTATAGTCTCCCCACAAAAGAAGTTAGTCGGTGGGATTTAATCTTGATCTCCCTTAATCTCCACAAAAGACGAAGTCAATTTGACAATTCTACCCTTACAAACTTTATGAAATTAAAAATAAATAAAGTTTTCTAACAACTCATGTAATGATGCTTGCAACTTCATCTGCTCCTTCAACCGTGTAAATATTCACTTCTGAAGCTCTAAATGGTCCTTCCTCAATCTAATAAGCTTGTAACACATGGAATAATAGCTGAACTGAGTCTATCCAATTTTATAGATGAAGAATGAATGCTTGTTGAATCTTATTGGCCTTGGATTGTGTAATAGATCCAGTTGGAACATTTGGAACACCGTGATCTGTATCATCATACCCCTCTTCAAAAGGATTTGTCCTCGAATCAGAAAATCATCACCTAGATCAAAAGAACTCAAGTCAGCAACATTGAAAGTAGAATGTGCTGAAAATTCTCATGAAAGATCATTTTATATGCATTGTTATTAATTCTTTCAAGGACTTGATAAGGGTCATTCCCTCTTGGATGTAACTTTGTCTTCGTTTGAGATGGGAATCTCTCCTTGTGGAAATGTATCCAAACCTAATTACCGGGTTCAAAAATGATTTCATTCCGTCCTTTGTTAATTCTTGAAGCAACATTAAAATTTTGTTTCTCAATTGTCTCCTTCCCCTCCTTATGCAATGTTTTGATCCCATTTGCCTTACTTGTGGCTCCTTTACTCACAAAAATATTAGAATGAATAGAAAGCAAATCAAGACCCGTAAGTGGATTAAATTCATAAACAACTTCAAAAAGAGAACAATGAGGGGCAAACTTCGTCCCAATAGAATGCAAATCAAGACGCGTAAGTGGATTAAATCCATAAACAACTTCAAAAAGAGAACAATGAGGGGCAAAAATTCATCCCAAGACTTAATATTCTTACAAATAATAGCCCTAAGGGATGCTCCTAATGTTCTATTAACCTCATTAATCTGAAGATGACATGTAGTTGAAAACAATAATTTGTTACCCAATTTATGACTTAATATTCTTATAAATAATAGCCCTAAGCAATGTTGCTAATATTTTATTGACTACCTCAGTTTGCTCACGATGACATGCAGTTGAAAACAATCATTTGGTACCCAATTTATCCGCCATACTTTCCAGAAGTGACTTAAAAATTTAACATTCCTATCTTTTTTTGTGTGCAGCAAACATTGACAACGTTGACTACAAAACTTATAAACATCGTGCTTCATGGCAAAAGTCATATGGATCGTGATGAACATTTTCTCTCATATCTTGGTTTCGCTAACTAAAGTTTTCCAATAACTCCCAAACTTCATTACCTTATATAAGCTCTTGGGATAAGGATTCATATAACATTTCATAAAATAAGATCTACCGATGAATTTCATAGCATTTGAAGGTCATCTAGGTCATGAACCGAAGGTAAATTACCTAAGGGGCATTATGGTCATTTTACACCGTTTCTTGGTTTACCTACTTATCCTTATCCAATTACCACCAAATTTCATATCTAACTTCAAGATACTATAATATGCTCAGTATTAAAATTTGATAGGCAGCGGAGCTCATATAGTGGGTTATTTTAGCATTACTTAAATCTCAAGGTATTTGATCGGTTTAGGGTCTTAACTAACGGTTCTTTAGGTTTTTCTTTCATATATCCTTAATTCATACTTGATTTAGAGTTCATATGAAAATCCAACCGATTTCTACATGTATTTCTTAACAAAGAGTCCAAGGTGGCTACTTGCCTCGTCGCCGACGTTTGGGACCTCCATTCTTGAGCTTCCAGTATCTGAATGTAAGAGCCGTACAGATGGCAATAAGTGAGGAGAGAGAAATGCAAGCTGTACTACTCTTTTAGGGTTTTTTTTTTAAAAAAAAAAGAAAAAGAAAAGAAAGGGAGAGCCCGCGGGGTGGAGAAGAAAAGAAAAGAAGAAAGAAAAAGAAAAGAAAAGAAAAGAAAAGAAAGGGAGAGCCCGCGGGGCGAGAAGAAAAGAAAAGAAGAAAGAAAAAGAAAAGAAGAGAAAAGAAAAGAAGAGAAAGGGAGAGCCCGCGGGGGGAGAAGAAAAGAAAAGAAGAAAGAAGGAAGAAAAGAAAAAAAAAAGAACGAAGAGTAAGAAAAGAAAAAAAAAGAAGAACGAAGAAGAAGACAGAGGAGAGGGTGGAACTGTGGAGACGAACGACGGAGCCTGAGGCGCTCGTTAACGACAGTGGGCCAAACGGTTGAGGAAGGGAGTACACCGACGGTAAGTTCTAGTGGTGTGATTTTCGTTGTTGTTTTCCAAAACCCTAACACATTTTGTGGGATCGATGTACCTATGTTATAGTCGAGGGAAGTTGGTGAGTCCTTGTGAAGAAGACATGGGGTGTTGAGAGGAAGAAAAGATCAAGAACGAGGTGGGAAGAAGAAGCTGAAAACTGAGGGGGCACGAACCCTACCCGACCCACCTGTACAGAACCAAAACTCGATTAAGTTTTGGGAAGTCTACGATCAGGTAAGTAACCATCTAGAGCAAGTCTTTTTGTAATTGCTTGTAGGAGTGAGTTTGGACTTGTGGCCAAACAGTTTAGTAATATATGTAGGAATGGATATAGTTAGTTCATGGAGATGTACTTCAATAATGTGTGTGATTGTACTTTGGTGATCGTTATGGTTATATAGTTTCGTTGGCCTGAATGTGGAATCTCGTATAGACATGTGAAATGGTATGTTTCAATGTTGAGCTAGGTGGTTATTATGTGACTTAGCGTGGTGACGTGTTGTCGCCGTGGTTCTTTGTTAGGCACTAGGCGTGGGGCTTGGGTAGTCCATTGCTACTCCTTGACTGTTCGATGAGTTATTAGGTGCTAATAATTATAAGTTAGGAAGCACATAATGACAATGTACCGTTTTAGTAGTCACCCACAAGGGGTTGAGGGTAATCATAATATATTATTGTGATAAGAGGTGCTTAGTGGGACGAGCCATGACCTTTTACTGATCCAGTTGAGCGACATAAGACAGGTAGTTACTGTTCCTAAGACAGGTAGTTTTACTGATCTGAGCCGGCAAGGGCGTAAGATAGGTAGTGACTGACCAAGCCTTGCGAGGCATAGTGGCAGGTAGTTGCTGATCTTGGGAATAGCTGGATGTTGCCAGGCACCCCTAGGTCTCTGATTAGTGACTAATCGAGCTCAAAACTTAGAATCCCGTGAATAGGGCTAAGTTCGACAAGAGCTTACGAGCAAGTTGTTTACTGGGTATTGTTTATATACTCATCCTGTGTTGTTTGCTATTTTTCAGGAGAAAAGTAGACTCTGGGTCGGTGGCGGGGACGTGTGGAGTCGTGCAGCTGCAGAAGGGGGGCCCTTAGATCGAGTCCTCTTCTCCCATGTCATTTTGGTTATGATTTTTGACATCTTTGAAAACCTACTATATTTTGTAACCGTTGTGTTTATGTGACCCGCAAATCTTCGTTATGTGTTTTATATTTTTTTGGAAATGTATCTGAGACAACTTTTAACTTTCAGTCCCTTGTTTGAACTACAAGAAGTGTTGAAAAGTTTTTTTTACTCCTGAGTCCACGTGGCGACCCATGATTCGGTATTTTCCGAAGATCGGTCGTTACATTGAATTACTTCAAATTTTCGTCCACGTACTCCTTATTGTGTCTAGTTTATGAAACCATAATGTTTTTATGAGAATCGGTCTGGAATGGAGTTAAAATTGAGAAAACTCAAGAAAATGTCAAATTTTGAGTTGACTTGGACAATTCAGTTGAACTGGCCATATCATCGTTTTCTTCCTCTGAACAGGAAGAAGATGCGCATTTTTCACGTCACCGCCATCTGAAACTCAGCCTGTACAGCCACATTTACAGCGTTTCTCTCCTTGATTTCTTCGTGAAACTTAAAGATGGGTGTTACAAGAAAGGGCTAGGGATTGATTTGATACCTTCTCATGGAACGTAGCCTAAGATATTCGCTTCAAAAGTTCATCCAAAATCTGATTTATCGATGGAGATAAAACAAAAGATTTCTTATTGGGTAGCCAATTCTAGGGGTTTCAAGGCCCTATTTCTTCATTGAACCTCTTCCATATCTTTTTTCAGGCTAAAGGAATTGGTTTGGAGGAAGGTCTTTGAGTGTAGGACCTTAATTTCCAGAAATCGTTCTCGGTATGCAACTCACTCGAAACGCCAAATTTTTTATCTCTTGGGTAGCTTGTTCTACGATGTTTCAGCTCTCAATTCCTTCATCAAGTTTACTCAATTTCTTCCTCTGAAGCTAGAGGAATCCTTAATTTGAAGGAAAAGAGATCGTAGATAGGAATTCGACTCTTATCCCCAATTTAATTTCGAAACCTATTTCCTTAAATTCGGCACGATCTCGAGGTTATTTTTCTTCGTGGTCTTCTATGGAAGAATTCCTTGGAGGTGCAGAAACTTATTGGAATCATTCTTGCTCGACGAATCATCATGTATCCTCGGATTGGATTTTCAAGTTTTTCTTGAAGTTCTTCAATGGCGGATTGAATTGGGAGGGAATGGTTTCTGGGAACTTTCATCACTCTATTCCTTCATACAACTTGTGGGTAATCTTGTTGAGAAACTGTAGGAATAAGTTTGAAGAGAAATGGCGGAAGATTGCTCTTGAATTTGGAAGAAATCTAAGAGTAGGAGACTCATAATCTAAACGCTTATTGCCTTCGATTGGGGGATCGACTTTTCTCCATTCTTATTCCGTATTGTTGCTCCTACTTCAGACTTTATAGGAGGAGCTTAAACCGACATTGAGAGCAACAGAATCTTCGTTATTTAGAAGTTTGAAGAGAAATAGTGGAGGATTGCTCTCGAATTTGGAAGAAATCTGAGAGTAGGAGACCCATAATCTAAACGCTTATTGCCTTCGATTGGGGGATCGACCTTTCTCGATTCTTATTCCGTATTGTTGCTCCTACTTCAGACTTTATAGGAGGAGCTTAAACCGACATTGAGAGCAACAGAATCTTCGTTATTTAGAAGTTTGAAGAGAAATAGTGGAGGATTGCTCTCGAATTTGGAAGAAATCTGAGAGTAGGAGACCCATAATCTAAACGCTTATTGCCTTCGATTGGGGGATCGACCTTTCTCGATTCTTATTCCGTATTGTTGCTCCTACTTCAGACTTTATAGGAGAAGCTTAAACCGACATTGAGAGCTGTAGAATCTTCGTTATTTAGAGATCAAACTTTGTGGATAATTTTTCGGAGATATCAACTCCGATCATAGCCTTACCAACCTTGGCTTTGAATACTAGTCGTTGGATGTGATGATCCGTGCGTGTTCGTTCTATATCATATCAAATTTTGGAGGAGTTCCTGGAAGGATTTTACTCGGATTGTCACGGTAGATGCTCTGTATCTAATTAGAGTGGCATTTCTGTAATTATCCATTCTTCTAGGGGTATTTTGGTAATTTTTCACTTTCTGAATATTTTATTATTATTTTTTTCGAACAATCCATAATTTTTCTACAAATTCCTCGTCCCTTTTTAATCATTTTCCCCTTATTTTGAATCTTGAGATTCCTTCTAGATAAGGAATTACAAATCCACAAAGATTTTTTATAATTGATAAAATGACTTTTTTGGCCTTTTCATTTACTTTTTCCGTTCCAATCCTTTTCGAATGGCCTTTTTAACTCCTTGAAATCACTCGTTAGGGTACTCACTTGACTAAGTCCCTTGTTCTTGCTTAATCCGTTAATTTTTTTTCCTTTCTATCTTTTGGGTCTTTCATGAGTGGCTTATTCTTATGGGAGCTAATTTCCTTCATTTTTGGGTGTTACATATACATACTCGTTACAAACAGAAAATAAGAAGCAGACTCAAAAGAAGAACAAAAAATACTAGATTAAAAACAGAGGTTAGTCCATGTTCCACACTCCAAAGTCCTCTCTCATCCACGACCAACTCTTAGTTACTTGAAAAAAAATGATAAACATAGAGTGAGTAAAACTTAGTAAGTAGCCTACTAGTAGGTTCTTAATCGCGATCTTAAGCTAGAATATTACTTCTTGTTATGTTTTCAGGATCTTAGAACTTAGAGGTCATCGTGTCATGTATCATATACTGATCCTGAAAACCTTCCCCTAAAATAACCTTCAATTTTCTCCCCATGAACACATGAGTGGTGTCGTCATAATCATGTAATCCTACTGGTAAATCATTGTGCAGGACATCGCATTTAGCTGATGGGAAAGGTAGGCCTATCATAACATCCTTCTCATGATACATATTGCAGGACATCCTACCTAAAGAGGAATAGGGGCCTTTTAGTACACATCGTAATGGCTGATAATGGATACTTATGGGTATGGATCCTAGCAACTTATTTAGCATGTTATTCACATAGTTATAGGTACTTGGTACATGGATTATTGGTGAACCTAGGTTTGTACATAATGTCATGGGTTAGGCTTTAGGAGTTGAGGTTTTAGGTTAGGAAAACATAGTAACCTAACGTGGACTAATTCGTGTGAAAACCTACTAGCACTTTGAGGACCTCGTTCCTTCACCAAACTTATGGGTAAACTTATTTAGAAGGTGCAGGAACAAGTTTGGAAATGAATAGTGGACTATAGTTCTTGAATTCGAGGTAAACCATGAATACGATACCCCAAAACAAAAAACTTGTATCTCTTGATTGGGTCCTCGATTAAGCTTGCTTCTTGCCCCTAATAGTCTACCCTAATTCATAATTTATAGATGGATTTTCCACTACCATTGAAGCGTCTAGAATTTCTATAATTTCATTCTTGATTTTTCTGAATCTTCTGCCAAAAAATTCTTCTCCGATCGGAGCCTTCCTTTGCTAAGCACCTTGTAATTCTTATTCTATAAAAAGTTTAATGATTCGGGAAGTTTATAAAAATTAGAAAAAGTACCATTTTCTCAATGTTTTTTCAATTTTACTTTTTCTTTGCTTCCCGATACAACCTAATAGGGATTATACATTGTCTCTTATTGGAGACCTTGAGTGTTGCAAATTCTCCTCTCCTTTGAAAACTTTCGGTCATCGAAAGTGCTTATTCTAAATTAGGTCAGAGTACAAGGTTCTTATTTGCCTTCTGTTTCCCAAGTGGCTTCTTTTACTCTATGATTCTTCCATAGGACCTTAACAAGAGCGATTTCCTTGTTTCTCAATCTTTTTACTTTCTTGTCTATTATTTGAATCGGGTCTTCTTTATATGTTAGGTCATCTCTCAAGAAGAGAATTTCATGAGCCAGTACGTGCGAAGGATCTAGGGTATACTTCCGTAGTATGGATACATGAAAGATATTATGTATTGCAGACGAGTTTGGGCATTGCCCGATTCTATAGGCCACAGATCAAATCCTTTCTAATGTCTCAAAGGGACAGATAAACCTAGGGCTTAGCTTCCCCATTTTACCCTACCTGAGCACCCCTCTCATGGGGTGCTACCTTTAGGAATATATGATCCCCTACCTACAATTCCATGTCCTTGTGCCTTAGGTCTACATAGCTCTTCTCTCAACTTTGTGCGGTTTGTATCCTAGCTTTAATCTTCTGACTGCGGTGTTGGTAATTTGCACCAGCTCTGGCCCAATAGTTGTCGTTTGCCCCCGTTCTTCCCAAAAGATAGGGGATCGAAATCTTCGTCCATTGAGAACCTCGTATGTGGCCATTTGTATGGTGGCTTGGCAACTATTATTATAAGCGAATTTCATAAGGGGTAGGTACTTATCCCAACTTCCTGCAATATCCATCACATATGCCCTCAACATGTCTTCCAATATTTGCTCGAGCATTTTTGTTTGACCATCTGTTTATGGGTGGAATGTCGTACCATAACTGCGTACCCAATGCCTTTTGTTGAATTTTCCAGAAGCGAGATTTAAATCTGGCATCTCGGTCTAATATTATTGCCTTTTGTTGAATTTCCAGAAGCGTACCCAATACCTTTACTGATGAATATTCATTTTTAATGTTAGCAAGAGTAGCTCAGTTGGGAGATTGTCAGACTTAAGATTTGAAGGTCACACGTGTTTTATCCACGTTCAACGCACCTAATACAAGTTTATTACTGGACTATACAATCTTAAAACATAACTTGCTTATTCAATCTAAAATTAGTGATTATTTCTTTTTTAAATATAAGGAATTGGCAGAAATACCTTTACTTATGAATTTTCATTTTTAATATTAGCGGGGATAGCTGTGTTGGGAGAGCGTCAGACTGAAGATTTGAAGGTCACGTGTTTGATCTCCACGTTCACCGCACCTGATTATAGTTGCATAACCTGACTATTCAATCTAAAATTAGTCATTATTCCTTTCTGAAATCTCAATGAATTATTGGAAATACCTAACGTGTTCTAGTTCACCGCACCTTATACAAGTTGGATAACTTGAATATCTTATTAAAAATTAGTGATTATTTCTATTTAAAATTTCAATGAAGTAGCGAAAATACCTTTACTGATGAATTTTCATTTTTAATATT